AGGGACAGACAGCAGCATGCTAGAGTAAGAGCAGGGAACACCCATACCACTGCTGTGCTTGCTAATTCCCCTCCCTGCACCCAGCACAGCTATTTTGCGGAGGGTTCAAATTGCTCCATGTGTTGCAGATTCACCATCACACCATGTGACAGCATCCAGCTTGGCACAGACACCAGGGCAAGTCTTTTCACCCTGTATGATCATCTCTCAGGAAAACCCTCACAATAAGCACTGCTGTTTTGGAAAACTCTATTTACACGTTTGTTCCACGGTCTAAGCTCAGGAGGCTTCTTTGCTTCACAGGCTGACCTCACACCACACCGCATGAGCCCAGACTATAAGGTGCAAGCTCTTCATGTGGAAGAATGCCTCGCTAGAAGCAGGAAAGATCCAACCTACAAAAAAAATTTTAAAAAAGGGAAAATTATGAGCAGCCATGACAGAGACAAGCAAAAATGCAAAACATCTCGTGCCAGATCCTTAGCTGATAAAAAACCAACATGCATAACATACAGCTTCGGGCTGGGATACGCTTACCCATCTCTGAATGTTTAATGGGAGCGTATACATCAGTTAATCAGCAGCACAAGACACAAAGCATTTTGTACCTCCTCTCCACGTGTTGTGCAATTAAAAGGCTTCTCATTCAGGCACAGAGAGAAAAGTCAAGGGACTTCAGCTGTGAAACATCCATTATTCAAAAGTGTATCCATTATTCAAAGTTTTTCTTAAAATCCTATTGTCAGCTTGAAAGGAAAAAGAAAATGAGTTTTTGAAAGCTGTGCTCCGTTGATATTCCACTCCAATTTTTGCTGATTGTAAGTACTAAAACTCCAGACATTTTGAAGAGCTGAAGAAATCCTTCATGGTTCCTGAGAAAGGCAACACCCTGTGGGTAGTCACAATCTTTTCCCCCCTCACTTAATTCTACCTAGCAGGGATGTGATACACCCTGGCCAGCAGCATGCTCCTTTCTCAAATTGCTCAGCTACCCCAGCACGAGGCTGACAAGCATCTATTCACAAGAAGGCAATAACAAATTACTCAGCAAGCACTAGCAGATACCCACCACTGCACCCGACCAGCTTATTGACTCCAATAAGCTCAGCTGAATGAAGTCTGTGTGGGATGCACAACCTTCTCACACCACCTGAGAGCCTCAGTGCGGGGTGCCAGGACTAGGCTGCAGGAGATGACATGGAAAACGAGTCCCAGCGGTGCTTCACACCACCCAGATGTGGGTGCAGACAGGCAGCAGACCCCACAGAGCCAAGGCAAGGGAAAGCCCAGCACTACCAGAGTTCCTGCTGCAAAGGGAAGACACTAGGACATCCAAATAATGCTGCTCCAGGAAAGATACCACACATGAACCACCTCACCTGGATAGTGGAAGATCTTCAACAAGAGCAACAAACAATCAACTGCTAACAGTAGGATATAAAAACATATTGTAAAGGAGGTTTTACATCCTTTAGGATGTGAAGAACCTAGAGGGGAGAGCATTGAAAGCCCCCAGGTCCATGCATCAGGCACCTCTGGAGAGATAAGGGGGATCTAAAGTCCAGCTGGCAAGTCAGCCCACAGGACAGAATCAAGTCTAGAGAAAGCATCCAGATCAAGCACTTGGCTGAGTCTAGAAGCAGCAGGATTGGATCTAAGGTCAGTTAGGCTATGCAGAGCTAGAGATTAGTGCTCTTACAACATAGCTTGGAAAAGAAAAAAGCCCCCAGGATGCGCTTATGTAGGGCCCCAGGCCCATGGGTGGGGATGCTCAGGTGAGGCCAGTTGGGACCACTTAAGCTTATTAAGGCATCGAGGCACAAGAGGCCCAGCAGGGGCTTATGGGGAGGTAGAGGGCTGGGCTGGCTGATTAAAAAGGAAGAGCTAAATGGTTGTTGAAGCTAAGAATCAGGTTAAGAAGTAGAGGCCAAAAGCTGAAGCATGTTCTACAGCTATGAGGCTAAAGAGATAATTATTATTCTGTCTAAAAGAACTATTTGTGAGCAAAGAGCAGAAGTCCTTGAAAGGCTAACTGTATTGTTGAAGAGCTAAGGCTGTAAGGTGTTGGGGTTTCTGAAGGCCTGGAGATTCTTCTACTTGGGAAAAGGAAGATAAAGAGAAGATGAGGCAGAGGTGAGCAGCACCTAGTAGTGAGAGACTTAGTTCCTCAGGGCTTATTGTAATAGAAATAATATAGAAAATACTGGTAGACTTAAAAGGTAGACTTAAAATCAATTTGTTTAAATTTTCTGTACCCATAGTATATAACTAAACTGTGGAACCCCCTGTGGTGTGACCTGAAGACACTGGATATACTATTTCAACAAAGCAATCTGATGGAAGGATGATGACTGAAGGCTAATGAATGCAGTAACCTAGGTGTAATGGATGACTTAAAGTCCTTCAACACTGCTGGAAGCTCAGTGGGTGGAACAGGATAAGGGTCCTGTTCTGCCACCACCACACTAAGTACTTTGCTACCATCAGACTACTAACTTTAGGTGTTGTCAATAATTTAGGGGACAGATTGAATCTATAAAATGAAACCATTGTTTAGTGGTCTTTGCTGACAGCTATCTTTAAGCAGCACACTTACCTGAAGCACAATGATGCTCCAATAATGGATACTTTTAGAGTGCTTCCAGGACACTAAAATGAGCTGGACGTTATCTACAGGACAGCTACAGCTCACAGCTTATTTGGATAAATTCTTTGCTGCAATAGACCATTTTCTGCTATTACCAGTGAAATAAGCTGAAAAACCACTTCTTTTCTTCTGCAATGAGAAGCTGTGCATAACATGATGAATTTGCAAAGCTTTTAAAGGATGGATGAGAGTTAAATAACTTCCTCCAGGGTCTAAGGCATTGCAAAGCCTGAGTGGTGGTGCTGCCATAATAAAGGCACACTAAGAAAACCAGGAGGATTATTGCAGCAGAAGAAGCACTTTGTAATTGGAGGCAATGCTGAAGTGGCTTGTGTAGCCAGAGTCTATGCAATGCTGGAAGCTGGAACAGCAGGGCACAGCGTGGACAAATTTAAGTATTGTCAGATGAAATGGTTTGACTATTGTGTCTCCACAGCCCATTGTAGTTCAAGTCTCTCTCGTTAAGCTTCAAAGAGTATAGCCAGCCTTTTACTGGAGTTTTAGGTTCCTTTTGTTTGCAGTGATGTTTATGAAGGTAACAGTATTTGCAATCGCCCTTCCTGGGATCAAGCTAGGCTGATGCAGAGTCAAGAGCACACTCCTCCGGAGGCAGAAATGCTTGGGAATGTGGTGAGTGAGGTGGAGGGAAGGCAGGAGAGCAGTTTCCCTTCCTTGCTAGTTCCTGCTGGAGGCAGGATGGACCAGTGACTTCGTCCCCTGTTCAAAACGTACGTGCAAACCTTTATCCCTCCATCCATGTCCTTCTCATTTTGTTCCTCCTTTCAGATCAGACCTTTCTGTGAAACTGCTTATTGGATTCCTGGTGGGGCACTGCTCTCATGTCCTATGGCAGTGGATCCCAAAGGGGGATTTGGGGACCTCAATTAGACTCAGTTGCTCTTTGTACAGCTCAAATGATGTAAAAAGAAGCTGGAAGTGAGCTACTTTCCTCTGCTCCCATTACCACAGCCAACACAGGATTAGGCTGTTGTCAATATGGGAAAAGTGGTCCATAGCATAATGATGGGGTTGGACAAGCTGTGTAAGAAATCAGCTTACATCTGGACTATATATGTGACCCTCTGCCACCAAGAAATGTTGCGTCAGATTGAGTGCTGTTTAAATTTGTTCAAGGCTTTGGGAGGTCAGGCAACCTGCTCAAAATTACTGTTCCTGCAGCTGTGGTGATACAGGACACTGAACAAGGTAAGCTTGATGCAGAGGGATCCCCTAATTTACCATACAACACAAAAGTACAGTCATGTAACAAATCCCTGACAATACTTATGGGTCCCCTGAGTGAAGGCATGAAGCCAAGCATCAGCCACAAAACTGAGCAGTGATGGCAAAGGGTCCTGCTCTCACTTGGGCTGAAGAGCTCTGAGCATTGGCAGGAGCCTTTCCAGCTGGTGGTTAAGCCCAGAAAGTGGACTGGCTAAAAGCACACGGCCATCAACAGCTACCCCTGTCCAGCTGACATGCAGCAACTTCTTAAGCCACCATCACCAAGTTGTGTCCCTGACTCATTTGGCTTGTCCATTGTTGGGGTGGGTCTCCTTCGAGTCTCCTTTTCTGGCTGAGTCCTGGGGAAACAGTGAATTTACTTCGAGATGATGAGCTTTCCTGGGGCATGCGGTTTAAGGCTTTGTTTACCTGCAAACCCAAAGCCCTGGGTACCTATGGTGATAGCCATCAGGGCAGGGCTTTGTAGGGAAGGAAGGGGCAGAGCAAGGACGCATGGAAGAAGCCTGCATATGAGTCTGGGCTTCCCATCCCTGGGATGCACTGTTGGGATTGAAATAACTCAGGATCAGACCAGCTCCCGGGTATTTCTCTATCTTACATCCCTGAATGTGCTGGATGGCGGCTACATAAATATTTCTGGGGAGCCGAGCCATTATTTAAGGATTAAAGTACTATCAAATGAGGGGAAACAAGAAGTGTTTTGAACACCTTTAGAGGTGCTCAGGGCAAAAATGCAAATGAAGGCACATCAGGATCCACTAATCCACTGTTAAAATATTATCCCTGCACATTATTCTTTAAGAACACAAACTCTTTGGTATGGGAGTGAGCAGTTTTTATATGGATTTGCCATTGAGCACATCACAATTCTGGTCTTGCAGTACTGAACCAGGAGTTAACGGCTCCCTGGCTCAAATCCAATGAAAGAAGATTAAAAGGGGTGAGGGGGAAATGGGATTTCTTGATTTGAAATTTTTGTTTCTTAGAGAAGCAGGACTCTGGAGGCTTCTGTGCCAGGGGCCTAACTGCACACAAAAACATGTTTCTACCTACGAAAAAAAAAAAGAGCTTTGCTAAAATAATCCTGAGGAATCTGCTCCATGCTTACCTCTTCCAGTTTGAAGAGTGCTCCAGCATGGAGATGAATATTCCCCTCCTGGCAATACTGCAGAATGGAGGAGATAGTAAAGGAAAAAAAACAGGGAAATCATCTTCCTTGTATCAACTCAGTATGCTCCCAGGGCAGACGCATTCTGCAGAAGCAGCAGCTTGATGGGAATTGAGGGGATTTTTCTTTGGGAAAAATCTGTCCCCACAATCCTGCCCTCCCATGCCAAACTGGGAAGGAGGGAAGACGACAGTGGAGGTCTCACACCTCATCTTGAGGCGGTACTTGCATGATGAAGAGCTGCAGAAGCTGAATTTTCAGGTATGAAAAGCTCTGGTCTGGGCTGTTGTACTTTAGTGCCAGTTTTCAGAGAACACACTTAAAACCCTAAAAGAAAAAATTAAGAAAATGCAGCAAGCCAAGGCCCTGTCCCACCCACACCCACTCTGCGTGCACAGGGGGCTTAAGCACACTGCCCCTAGGAGGTGGCCAGCTATATCTGGACCCTAAAGTAGCCTCCCCTTGGCTGCATCTCTGCAAACAGAGCCCAACCGGTTTGCTGAACCTTCCCCAAAGGGCAGCACAAACCTTCCAACAGGTCGATGGCATCACGTGTGCTTGCCCGGGTTTGTCGGAAGGCAAGGCTTTTATTTCAGTGTACCTTTGCAGAGCTGCCTTGGGCACGTCCCTGCTGACAGCCTTGATGGCCACATTGACCTCTCTGCTGCTTGTGAGCTTCTTCACCTCCTCTCTGTCTGCTCCGGCTGTAGTTCATGCTGCGGCTTGTGTGCTCTTCAGAGCCTGCTCATATCTGGGGTCACTTCCAGCTGCCGCTGTCACCTGTGACCAAAGGAAAACCCATCACCCAGTGCAAAAGCTGCTCTTTTCAGAGAAGCACAGACCACCTGAGGCTGGAGGTATGTTTCTTTTTTATTTTATTCATAGCAAATGGGAAGTTGGAGTCAGTGACTCAACTCTTTCTCTGTATATGATTAAAATGTATATGTATACAGAACAGCAGAAAAACATGTCACTGGCTTCTGAAGGGGGCAATATGTTTCCAGGCTACAAGAATCTCCCCCCGCCATCAGGGATGTGCTGGTACCACAGCCATTTGAGGGGTACCTCTGGAAAGGAGGTCCTGTCCACTCCCCAGGCTCAGCTGAACCCAAGGGGTGCTGGTTCTGCCCCAGCGCAAAGCTTTGATGCTGCAAAGTGAAATGATCTGCTAAGCAAGGATCCGCATTTACTGGCTGACTTTACAAGCAGAAGTACATTAACTACAGCCTGTAGAGAAAATGTCACTCCTGTACCGTTCAGACAGACCGTGTAATTGCCTCTGCTGCGGGGCGGGAGGAGGAGGATTGCATGAATCAAGGTGTAGACATGATTTCTGCAGGCTGTCCCCACCTCTGCTGTTGTCTGTCTGTATGAACATTAGGAAGTTGCTTAATCTCTGTAGCTTTGTCTAGTGACGTTTCCATATTTCAGAGGAGCGGAGAACACAGCGTTTCAGCTGCTACTGAAAATCCAGTGAGTTACAGACATCCCCCACTACAGCTCCCTAGCCAAGGCAGAGCAGGTACGACCCTGCTCCTCCAAAACAGGGCTGCTGCCCTACAGCCCCATCAGGAGAGATGCACGTGGACAGCAAGCTCGTCTTTGGTGAGAGAGCTATGGAGTATTGCTGACTCAGGATGCTTCCTAGTGAGATGAATGGGGAATTAATTCAACACTGCACATGCCCCATGGTTTATAGAGTCTCTCAGTGCTGAAAAGGCTCACTAGGAACATCAACTTCTTCGCAGAAATTTCATGTTGGACAGTTTTCAAGCTCATGTTGTATCTGTGTGGGTTTAATTTATAAAAGCTGCCTTTACTACAGGCCCTGACAATTCAATACTGTTGAAAATCAACAGGTTGGGGCTGCTGACCACATCTCCCACTGGCTGCATCCCCCTTTGCTCTGCAATCCTCACTTCCATGGGATCTGCACAATTCCCCCCCTCCATCTTGGAGGGAAAATCAAGGCCCAAGTGTGAAATGGTCTACCCCAGCTTATACAGGTATGTGCAAAAGAGACAAGATGCCACAACATTTTTGACAACTGAAATGCCCAGGTTTGGGGTTATGCTTCATGTTGTTGAGCTGCTGCTGCCACTTACCCTGGCTGAAGCTGTGCCCTATGGTCAAGAACCAGCGAGGCTGTGCCATAGGTGGTCAGCAATGCCACTGCACCCCCATATGACACCTTCAGGGATCTGCATACAAAGACCTGCAACACAAGTAATCCCAAGGAGGGACTTGACTCTCTTGAACTGAACCCATTGTGAGGCATCGCGGGGGACTGGTATGTGAAAAGGTTTGTTTTAACAATTTTTACATCTTTTAACAGCCTGCTGTTTGGAAAAACTCCCCTGAGCATCCCACTCTATCAGTGGTGCTAAGGGAAGGGGAAAAAAAAAAAAGTGATCAGAAGGTTGGGAGGCAGCAGCTCTGGCAGAACTAATGCCCTGAACAAAGAGGCAATAGTCTTTTGTGATTTTGGAAAATAAATGCTCTGTATCCTTACCTTCTGATCAACAACATACTCCGCTGCCGTAGTTTTAGTGCCAGTCACACCAATTACTCTGTATCCCGGCCAAAAAGACCTTATTGGATGGGCGTCAGGAGAGAAATTGTGTAGTCCTGCTGTTCTCTCCGAATTAAGCATTTGATTTTCCTGCATTTTCAGGAAGAACTGTGAACAGCTCAAGCTGTGTCTAATACCAGTCCACTTAGCTATTGCATTAACTGCATGTATTTACCCCTTTCATCTTTGGAAGCTGATTCGTTACGCAGAGGCTATGCCTTCTCCTTCATCCAGCAGAGCTCAGCACCTCTCACTTGCATCCGCGACCAGGATGCAAAGGCTTTAAGAGGACAACCTCCACGATAGACATCTGGATCTCCACTCACAGTGACGGATGAGGGACCCCGAGGCCATTGTTAGTTCTTACATTCTAATATTTTCCTTATCTCCTTTACCTTGCGCAGGGACCGGTCCCTGGGCTAAGGGCTGGGGAAGTTTTCTGCAGCAAAGCACCAGGTGGACAGAAGATGGCAGCATCAGCCCAGCAGACAGCAACCACTTGTTTAGGTAGGGATTGCTTTTAACTAGAAATACCAGTACTTTTTTTTTTTTTTTTCAGAGAAAAGGAGTATTTTCACGCCTTTGAACTTCAGAATTGTAATCAAGGCACAAGACACACACTCCTGAACTGGAAAAACACAGGAGATGGCTCAGCCTGAAAGGCTTAATGGAAGAAGGACCACATAAGCATCACCCGTGCACTGAAAGATGCAGGGGCTTGAGGGCCAGAGGGTTGGGGTTTTTTTGCAAGGGGTGAGGACGTGCCTTCAGCAGGGGTACACTTCCTGTGTCCATGCCAGGCTGAAGGGTGCCAGGGTGGCATGTCTGCCCAGGGACAGGCTGGGACCCGTACCCACGATGATAGGCTGTCTCATGTGCGTATGGGAATTATTGCAGCTCTAGGCTTAGGACAGAAGAACCCGCCCCTGCCCAAAACCTCTCTATGCCTTGGTTTTCTTCGCTTTCAGGCAAGCTTAGTATTTACTGTAGCTCTCCCCAGACTAGCATGAGTGCTCTTTGCAGGCTACCTCGAAAATGCAAAATATTTTACATTGAGTATTTTCAGAGAGGATGTTAAATTGTGGTGGTCTTGTCGGCTCCGAGAAGAAGCCTTAAGTGAGCCTCTGCTTTACCTGCAGTGGCCTTCATTTCCTAGCTCTTAACCCAATGAGAATTTAATATTTTGTTTTAGTCGCTCTACACTTTCTGCACAGATCAGCCACCTTCTCACCAGGAGTGAAGGGAAGAGCATGGTTTTCCTGATAGAATCCCTGGCAGGCCAAGATACCAGCAAAATTAACCCACAGTAATGGACACCCCCTGGGACCTGCAAGAGAGAAGGGGACAAATATTAACACCCTCCCATCCCACAGCAGCAGAAGAGTTTTAGAGACACTGCCCTAAGTCTTCAGCAAAGTCTGAATATCCAAATTCTGATCTCTCCAGTTGGCACACTGACCACTCTGCTGTCCCATCTCTCAACAGACACTGCTGCTCTCTAAGTCGTAGGGTTACAGTCTCAAGCAGACAAAGCTGGAGACAGCAACTAGTTTTGCTGTGACATTCTGCTGTGTGGATTCTCCCCTGGGATGTTGTCCTATGGGACCTGGTGGAAATTAGACAGCATGCATTGATGAGCAGCTATCGTGCTGGGACAATTTTGTGCTGTGCTTCAATTTGGGATGTTTATTCTTTCAGCCTATGTTGATCATTGCAGGAGACTTCTGTGGTGCAGGTACATGAGGCTCTGTGGATTTTAAGCTCATCATCCCCTTTTCCCAGTGCAAATAATTGGTAAAAAACACACTTTTGCAGAGCTCTGCTCTTTCAAGGACATCGCAAATAGGTACTGAACACTCCACCGTGGTGGGCATGCACTTTGGGATGGCAGATACTGGAAGAGACATGTGGGAGAGGGGTGAGATCTGAGCATCACACTGCCTTGCATCCTGGATTTAACCTTCCTCTTTCCTTCTGTCTTCTATATGTTTTGCAACCTGCACGTAACCTTTGTCTGTTTGTATGTCCTGTTCTTAGCCAGCTTCCCTGGAATGGGACTTAGGAGATCTTCTAGCTCTGCTGCTGCTTCTCTGCCTGGAGATCTTGGACAAGTGTAAGTTCAGTGTCCACACTCATAAAAGGGAAGTAAAGACCCTCTTCTCCTCTGTGAAAAGCCTGGAGATGTATCGGTGAGGAGAGGTGACTCTGTTCTTGCTAATGTAGCATTTTTAAGGGGCTGATTTGAAAGCAGGGCTTATGCTGTTGTAAGGTGTTGCCCAAATACTTCAAAAAAAAAAAAAAATAAAAGACAGCCCTTCGTGTTGTGGAGAGATTCAGGACAAACAGACAGGGCAGAGCAAGCGGAGAGGGGGCTGGAGTTACCATCAAATTCCTGGAGCACGGCTTTCTCCAGTGCATGAAGCTGGTGGCCCCTGCACTGGCAGTAGTCTTTGAGAGGGGATAAGGACAGCAGGAGAAGAGAGTGCTGAGGATGGGAGCTGAAAGAGGGGAGCAGAGGAACAACAGATCCTGGAGATGAAAGCAGACCAGGCAGGGCAGGTACAAGCTCCCCTGAGGAACATGACTTGATTTACTTCCCCAGTATAAGGGCATTAGATTATCCTCTGGGATCCATCAAATGCCACAAGCCTTTGCAGCCATCACTGTACCTGGTGGGGCTGAAGAGGAGGGGATGGGACACCATGTGAGACCAGGGGCTTTGCCAGCTCACTGCAGAGGGTGACTTGGTAGCCCCAAGCAACTCCTCTGCAGGAGGCTTGCCCCTGGATGCCCATCCTGAAGCACATGAGCCTGCAGGACCTAAGACTGTACCATCCTCTCACCAGAGCAGTGTTTCATAAAGCCCTGCCAGCTAAAGCCAAGGAGGATCTCAGGGATGCTCCAGCAAGGTGGTGTGGGAACAAAGACCTTTAGTCTTGGGCTTGGGGGGGGGAGCGAAGGAAGCCCCGCCCTGGGTCTGAGCTGCAGGCAGGCCTCAGGGAGACAGGGAGTGCTGAAGGGGAGAGAGGAATGGATGGAGAAAAAGGGATGGGGGAAAAAGAAAGGGTGCCTCAGGGCCTTCCAGCCCACCCCATGCTCCATCCAACCTCAAGGCGGCTGGGGAGGCAGCAGGGTCGCTGCAGACTGCAGTCCCTGGCAGTCCTGTCCCGCAGCGCAGCTCCCCGGGGCACGGCCACCCACGTGGCTGTGCATCCCAAGGGGACTGGGCATCGAGCGCTGACTGATGCTTTTAATATTGGGTAAATATTTAAATGCTGGGTAAATATTTAAATATCTAAGTAGATCTTTGCAGCCTCAGTGAACCACACCAGTGGAAAACTTTGCAGAAGAGCATTTTGCATCCCAATCTGGATTTTTGCAGCAAGAGAGTGTGCCTTTGCAGGAGCACATGGTGGTTCCCAGCAGCTATAAATGGCTGCGTGCTGCCGTCACAGCATGTCATCACACCGGTTTTCCAGATGGGGAAACCGAACATGCCTGAACCACGCAGGGGCCATGGGGTGAGTCAAAGCTCACAGAGCCAGGGGATGAGAAAACCCGATCTGCTGACTCTCCATCCCATGGCTTAACCACAAGCTCATCCTTTCCCCTCGGGGGATCTCCTGCTCTGAAACTGTGCTGCCGTTTGTGCATGATTTTCAGAGAAAAGTATTTTCAGAGAAAATAATGTGCTCCTTGGGCTGAAACATCTTATAATAACTCTCTGTCTGGAAAGCGGATGGGAATGCATGTGGGGGAGGGAGAATGAGACGACAAATTTGGGTTTGGAGAAATCAGTGCAGCTATTTGTTATATTTGTGACCCTAAGAGGAAGACCATGGTATGTCCAGCAGGTATTGGTCCAGTTACCCTGCGAAGGCACAGGGCTGTGCTGCACATATAATGTGGCTGTCCAGCCCATGTCACGCCATGCGTATCCCTTGGCACAGGGTAAAATTTGCTGGCAAATTGTACCAGAGGCAGGTCCCGCTTGGCACTGGTGATCACACCACTTGCGTGTCCTTGTCTTTATCTTCAAGTGAAGCGGCATGTTTGTATGTGACCACCCTTTTGTTTGGCACTCAGGATGAGGAACAGAGGTGGCTTCTTCTAATAAAATCCTTCAGGAGCTCTAAAGACCAAAGTGTCAGCGATGGGCCTGGCAGATGGGATCTGTGCAGGGTGCTGTGCTCTGACTGGAAGTCCAGCTGATGCTGCATGATGCAGAGCACCCTGAATTTGGGGCCGGACTCTTTTCAGTGGTGCCTGGCAACAGGCACGAGCTGGAACACAGGAAATTCCATCTCAACGTGAGAAAAAACTTCTCTGCTTTGAGGGTGCCAGAGCACTGGAACAGGCTGCCCAGAGAGGTTGTGGAATCTTCTTCTCTGGAGATATTCACAACCCGCCTGGATGCATTCTTGTCCAACCTGCTCTAAGTGAACCTGCTTTGGCAGGGGGGTTGGACTAGATGATCTCCGAACATCCATTCCAATTCCTATCATTCTGTGATTTTGTGTAATTTGAACAGATGTGAGATTTTCTATGCTATCCCCTTTTTCCTTCTAGCATTAGCTCAAATAAATGGTATTTTAATAGCTTAGGGAGAGAATGCCTTTCTTACTGGGGTCATGACCGCTAGACCTGGTGCTTTATGGTGACATGAAGAAAAGGGAGCAGGTTCCAGCTGAGCACTGGCACCATTTTCAGATATGCCAGGGCACGTTGTTACAAGATGTCATACACAACCTGGATTGGAGTCCTGCAAAAGGATCATGCACTGGCTCTTCTCTGGGGCAAGTGGATTTTAAAATATCAGCTGTGATCACAGAAGATAAGGTGGTGAGACTGCACTCTTCCGTGGAAAATAGAGAGGAGGGAGGAAAAACACCCTATGTTGCTCCCAGATGCTTAGTATTTCTCAAGCAAAAACTTGCACTCATGCACAGGGAGCCCTAAAGATTTTGGACTGTACCTGCAAAGATGACTGGGCATCGGGTGTCTGGAGAGTGGAGGCTTGCAGGACTGCCAGTCCTGCTGCAGTTTGCCAGTCCAGGCTCCTGAAACTAAAGCTGTATATCTGCAGGGCAGTCACGGCATGAGTTCTCTCCATATATGCTGTCCGTTGCATCTGCCCTTCCCAGGCATCAGCCCCTACCTGTGAGATGAAGTGGACGACTTAAAAAGCATTTTGCTGCAATTTGTCAGGGGAAGTCTGTCAGCTCGTTTCATCCATCAAATAAGCATATGTCCAGCAGTAATCACTTCTTGTCTCTGTTGTACGGGGCTGGTTAAAAAACAGGGGCACAGTCATGAAGTGTTATTGTTGTAGTATTATCTGGCCAGAAAAACAATCGCTGCTTCCCAACAGCTTCAAGCTTCCCTCCCATAAGCAATGGAAGGTCTCACATTAATGTACTTGCCATAAAGGCAAATGCAATCAACTGAAATGTATGTGAATGACTGTGTCCCTGCCCAGGATGACTGTCTGGGGAATGGACCAGTGTTTCTTGGCTAGCAGTGTAGGAAACAAGATGGTCAGTGCTGCCTTTTCCTCCTTGAAGCAGTTCAGATGCAATTCAAATGAATCCCTCGTGGAACCCTCCTGGCTTCTGCTGAACTATGACACAGATGGGTCTGGCTCATTGTATGCAGCAAAAGCCGCTTAATTAGAGCAACAGCTCAATTTATTTGTTTTGGATCATCTTTATTAGCTATCACTTAAGCTTGTAATTAAGGGCAGAATAGGGACTGTAAAAATGGCACCATCCCACACTGCTTGCGTTCTCCCTGTGCTGCAGCCGTGGAGCGGTGCTCCCGTCTGCTCAACACCTTCACAAGTCTCTCCCCTCCTGTACAGATGGCACTGCTGTGATGTGCACTCCACATGCATACTTTATTCCCGGAAAAGCAGAAAGTAAATGGCAGTATTTTTATCCTGGGACATTTTTAATGGACTGAGGTTGAACATCTGATGCCACACAGGCATAGCACGAGCAGCAGGTATGACTCCTGGAGGGATGTTGCTGCCCATCTCTTAAAATAAATACCCAAGTACTAACACCTAGTGGAAGAGAGGACCAAAATCCTTACAGAGACTCCAGCAAGCAAAACAAAAGCAGAGGGATTGAGACCTGAGGCTCACATGGTAACCAAGGAAGCCTAGACCTTCTCCTCTGGAGAGAATACTGCTCAGAAATGCAAAGCTACATCATTGCTCTCATTGTGGCTGTTATTATTGCCATGTGGTTATAACCTTGTGCTCGGCAGAGGCATTTCTGGTCAGGTGTTTCTTCTGAAGTGCCTGAGATATTTTTATGGTTTTCAGTCTGCCTCTGTACTACTCCAATGTCCTGAATCTCCTCTTTGCAGTCCTAAATCCTAGTTGCACTCTTTGGGCTCACGGGCTGCTGTGACCAGCACCGCACAGCTATTTTCCACCGCAAGGCTATTCTTGCTCTGAGATTCAGTTTTCTTTTGTATGAACCAGCTCTGGGAATCCTACATTCTATTTTAAATGCAGCTTGTACCAGGACAAGTATGGGCATGTACTTTTAATGATCTCTGCATTTTTAACGGGGATTGAGTCTACAACAGCTACACTGGCATCTTATTCATGTTACCATGATGCCTAGTCCTGGACCAGGACCCACCATGGCCATCAACCCTACTGGGCAGGCTCTGCTCCCAGGAGGTTCACGGGTGACAGGCAGGGATGCATCTCCATCCCAGCATCTTTGCAGGTGCCCTCCCTGTGGAAGGCAGGGCTGGACTTGGCTTTGAGACCTGGCAGCTACCGTCACTGCTTCCATGTGGTCCACAAGGAAATTCCCCTAGTTGGCATCCAGCCCCTGTAAAACCAGGAGCAGCTACTGTTTATGGGGCAAGGTAATGTCTGTGTATCAACTGTCTGGGTCTGTTCACGGGACAGGGGAGAAAGCTGGACGTCATATTTGCATATACATGAGCCGTTATGAAACGTCTGCCTTGTGCTCCAGAGCAATGTTTTCTCCTTCATTTATTCAAACATCTAAAGGAACAATAGGTTAGAGAATTGGGAGGGGAGAGGAGGAGAGCTTGTACATTTTGCTCCTCCTTTCTTCTGAAATGTCAGCATCTTACAGCGCTCTTGATCAGTTCTGCTTTGGTGGATGCTGCCACTGCTGCTGCACTGGGCTCCAATGATAAACATTGAAGGGCAACATGGGGGACCCCCACGGCAGTATTTTTAATGAAGTGCATCTCCAGGCTACACCAAACGAGGCTATTTGTGTCCTGGTACAGCCTTTGTTTGCAAACAACAGCCTCTCTAGGTAACCACACAACAGAGCACACGTGCCTATTTATTTGCATCTGTCTCCACTCACAATAGCAAAGGAAGGGGACCCATCTGTTTGGGCAATGCAGAACAAAAATATAGCAGAGAGAAGCTGGATAAATTAATAATATAGGCAACCCAGAAAAAGAAGGCTGCATTCCTAAAGATGTAGATAAATCTAGTGATTATTCTTTTCCTCAAAGTTCAAGCCAAGTCATCTAACCTGGAGTCTGACAAGAAAAATAGGGACAAATAAATCACTCCTTCCTTGTTGGCCTCATTTCTTGTTCAAAGATAAAACCCAAACCATTTTGGCTGAGCACAGTCCAGTAAATGTACCCTTTCACTGACCCCATGTCCATCCCACAGCCTCCTCTGCACTGACTCATCACAGCATCTGCTGTCGTCACCTCCCCAGTGTCCCGGGGAACAGCTTTATCACAAAAAAAAGGACGAGTTCAAAGGCTACATTTTTAA